GGATATATATAGTACGTGACCCGTGCAAAGCACGAATTATATTTATTTGGACAATATTATATTATAAGATGCAATATTCAATAAAAGTTTATAATACGCAAGAAAATTGTACAATGTTCAATAAAAGTTTTATAATATTCAAGTGGAGTCTTAAAGTCTCTTGTACATTAAGACTACTGACAAAATAATATTTTAATCAATGAGTTTCCTTTCCTTATAGCCAAATTGTGAATGTGATTTGAGGAGTACAACAAATCGATATATAGTTGACTTGCTTTTTTCATTGTAGTTTTTTTTTCTTTTTTTTTTATAATGAATTTAAAGATATTCTAAAATATAGCAAAAATTAATTTTTTTATTACAATTAGGAATTTTACTAAATATAGACTCTCAATCTATGGTGTTAATCAACGTTTAAGTCTAAAAAATTAGGAATTTTTACCTCTTTTAATCAACGTTTAAGTCTAAAAAACAATAGAGTTATTATAAGTTTTTTTTTACATCTTTTAAAACATTGAATATGAGCATGTTAGGGCTAGCTTGTAAAATAATTAATATATTATCTCACTAAAACATTTATACTAATAAAAATTTAATTTTAGCATATAAATTTATCCCTTGATATAAGAGAAAGTAACAGTTTTACTTATTGTTGTTCACCATATAATATTTAATTATTATTTTATTATATAATAAAAAAGAAATATTGTTAAATAGTGTAGTAGAATTGTTATAAAATTATATGATTTTTTTTTTTAAAATATGGATTTAATATTTTTTTATGATTTGATAATATAAACAAATCTATACTTAACTTTGACAAATAAAACAAATAAATACTTTAGTAAGTATTTAATGTATATACTAAATAGGAATATATTTGGTATAATCAAATACCAAATATAATCAAATAAGTCAAAGTGTACATTTTTATTTGGTATTTGATTTTTTTATTATTAAAATCTTTTTATTATACTTACCTTTTTAAAATAAAACAAATAAATAAATCAATTAAATAAATAAAATATTATAATACCAAAATAGTAATAGCATTTAATGCAGTTGACTTTTCTGGATAATAAATATAGTAAATAGAATCTCCTTTTATATAAGTATAGATTGTATAATACGGAAATAGTAATGCAATAAATGTTGTTCACTTTCTTTTATACTAAATCTAGTAAATGGTATACCTTTTAATATAAGTATAGATAGATGTAGCTATTGTTTATTAACTAGACGAAGTCGCATAGATATATATCCTTTTCAAGGGATCATTACTTTAAATAACCTTGAGATTTAATCTAATTAAAAAATAATCCGTATTAGTATTGAAATTACAAAAAGTACCCGAGGTAGTGATGTAGAACGTGTATATGAAAGGGAAGAACATGACAAACGTCGAACAGATTTTTATTTCAATTCATCAATAATCTGCTCTCAACTGCGCAGACGAGATTACATAAGGGAAAAGGAGAGTCCCGTGCTCATCCATTACTTAAAATAAAACGCGTAATAACCATAATAAGATGTCAAAATAAAAGACTACTAATAATGATAAAATAAATAACTAGACACGAAGATGATCGTATTTATTTAAAAATGCTATCGCGGTCTCGAATCCATCATCCTCCTCCTGTTGGGAAGGATTCGCCCGCGAATCGGAACCGGTCTCGTCTCCTTCGCCGTCTGAATTGTCACCACCAAAAGGAACCAAATGCTTGACATTGAAAACGTCATAAGTGTGAATGTGAGAAGGAAGGCAGAGACGATAAGCATTGGGATTGATCTTCTCGACAACCTCAACCGGACCAATCTTACGTGTAGATAATTTATTATAATCATGAGAAGAAAACCTGTCTTTAGTTAAAACAGCCCACATAAAATCACCTACCTCGAACTCCACATGGCGACGATGAGTGTCGGTCTGCCTCTTATAAGAGGCAGTAGTCGCCTCCAACTGAGCCCGAGCCGCGACATGCGTCTGCTGCAAGTCCGAGATGAGGACCGCGGCGCGCCTATCAACACCCTCGGACGATGGAATGGCGCCTAAGTCACTCGGGCCACGAGGCTGAACACTGTACACGATCTGGAAGGGCGTGAAGCCCATTGCCCGGCTAATCGCCGAGTTATGGGCGAACTCCGCCTTACATAACCGTTGGTCCCAACTCCGGATGATATCTCCCACCAACCAACGAAGCAGGTTCCCCAAGGACCGATTGACCACCTCCGTCTGACCGTCCGTCTGAGGGTGGTAGGCGCTGCTGAAGTCGAGACATGTGTCAACCATACGCCATAAACTGCGCCAAAAGTAACTCAGAAAGCGAGTATCACTGTCAGACACAATAGCCAACGGCAGCCCATGCAGGCGGTAGACCTCCCGGAAAAACAGCTGGGCTACGTGGACGGCATCTGTAGTACGCTTGTAAGGAATGAAGTGCACCATATTCAAAAAACGATCCACGATCACGAAAATAGAATCAAAGCCCCGTTGTGTACGAGGCAAACCCAAGACGAAGTCCATACTGATCGTCTGCCAAGGCTGTGACGGAATCGGCAGGGGTCGATATAAGCCCGCGTTCGTCGCGACCCCCTTCGACACCTGACAAATACGACAGCAAGCCACAAACCTCCCCACATCACGCTGAAGGGAGGGCAAAAAATAAGATCGACTAACTAGATTCACAAACCGATCACGGCCCACGTGTCCGGTACCATGCAAATCGGCAATGAGCTTCTGTCTCAGACTGCAATCCGGGACACACAAACGAACCCCACGGAACAGAAACCCATCCGACAACGAGTAGTCCTTGTAAGGACCATCTCGCAAGCGCCCAAAAATCGGTCTAAAGAAAGGGTCTTCCGGATAAACGTCACGCAGGACCTCAATACCGACAACCGCCACACGTATTTTTGACAATAAGAGTGCACGTCTCCTCAATGCATCCGCCACCCTGTTCGAAACACCCGAACGGTACCTGAGGACGAAAGTGAACTGCTGTAGGAACGCCGTCCATGAGGCATGGTGAGCCGAAATAGAAGCCTGAGAAGCAAGGTGACGTAAGGCCTCATGGTCGGTGTACAGAATAAACTCGCTGTGAAACAGATAATGGCGCCAATGTCAGACCGCCTGCACCACTGCGTAGAATTCAACATCATACGTACTGTAACGTAATCTTGAGCCAGACAACTTCTCGCTGAAAAACGAAACCGGACGCCCGTCCTGGCTGAGCACGGCTCCGATCCCCACCTTCGAAGCGTCGCTTGAGAGCTCAAATGGGCGTGAGAAATCAGGTAAGACGAGCACTGAGGCCGACGTCAACTTGGTCTTGATAAGATCAAAAGCATCCTCAGCTGCCAAAGTCCAAAGAAAAGTCTTCCCGTGGAGACAATCCGTATTTGGTGCCATCAACGAGCTAAAGTGGGAAATGAAACACCGATAAAACGACGCCAACGCATGAAAGTTGCGCGCCTTTGTGAAGGAAGTTGGTGTCGGCCAATCACGAATGGCCGCCACTTGCTCTCGTCCACTTGGATGCCTGCTGCTGAGATCACAAATCCCAAAAAGAGGACTGACTCCACCATGAAGTGGCACTTATGTGGCGCTGCAAAAAAGGATTGTGCCCGCAAAATAAGCAACACCAATCGCACATGCTCCAAATGATCCTCTACGATGCGGCTGTAGATAAGGATGTCGTCGAAATAAACGATGACACACCTACCGATAAGGTCTCGTAGAGTCTGATTCATGATCCTCATAAACGTGCTAGGCGCGTTTGATAACCCAAACGGCATCACCAGTCATTCAAAAAGCCTCTCTCGAATCTTGAATGTCGTTTTCCACTCGTCCCCTGGCCTAATTCGAATCTGGTGATAACCACTACGAAGATCTAATTTTGTAAAGAAAGTGGCCCCATGCAGCTGATCCAACAAGTCATCAAGTCGTGGAATAGGAAAACGGTACCTGACTGTTATCTTGTTGACCGCTCTACTGTCTACGCACATACGCCAGACGCCGTCTTTCTACGGGATGAGCAATGCTGGAACCGCACATGGGCTAAGGCTCCGTTGTACCACCCCTCGCTGTAGTAGCTCTTCCACCTGCCGGCGCAACTCCTCGTGTTCAACCGGGCTCATCCGATAATGTGGTCTATTCGGCAGAGAAGCTATAGGTAACAAGTCAATCTGATGCTGAATATCCCGCAGAGGTGGCAACCATGAGGGCAGCTCTGGGGGAAAACATCTGCAAATTCCGACAATAATGGCTGAATGAGGATATGCGGTTCACAGTCACTCTCGTTGTCCGCCCCAACAAGCATAAGAACCAATGGAGCTGAACGCATCTCCTCCACAAAAGCTGCCCGTGATAGAAAAAAAACCGTCGAAGATCCCGGAGTCGAAATAGGTCATGGAGGAGCAGAATACAAGGTCACCTTAACACCCCCGAAGACGAAGCTATAGGTATTAAGTCTGCCATCGTGAGTAGTTGACCTGTCGTATTGCCAAGGTCGCCTTAGTAACATGTGGCATGCATCCATAGGAACAACATCACACTACACTTGATCTCAATAAGTCGCCCCAATGGACAACGAGACTAGAGCACGACGGTCAACTGTAATCGCATTGCCTCGCTGGATCCAAGCCAAAGTATATGGCTGTGGATGAGGCCCGCTCGAAATTCGCAGTTTATCGACTGCCTCCTTTGCCACCACGTTCTCACACGATCCCGAGCCAGTAATAAATCGACACACCTTGTCACCGATGGTACATGTCGACTAAAAAAAGTGATGTCTCTCTATCGCCTCAACACCCGGTGCACGAGGTGTCAAGCACGACCGCGGCAACACCAGTGTCGTGCCAATATCCCCGTCATGGTGTTCTTCGGTTAGACCTGTTTCCACATCATAAACCGGTGGCCCCTCATAATTGGTTGCCCCATCCTGGTCACCGCCATCCTCGATAAAGAATGCACGCCCACCCGGTCCCCGTGGACACGTAGCCTATCGGTGTCCCACTTTTCCGTAGCCAAAGCACCGCAATCCCGCTCCCGTCCGCTGACCGACCGCCGCGGGTTGCTGCCCTCCCGAGCCCAACACCAGAAAACGACCACCCGCGCTCGTCTGACCAGCCCCGCTCCCCGTCGTTTGCGGCCACCTGCCCGGATTTTGCACATCAACGGCCGCCTGTTCCGCACGTGTTGAAGAGGTAAAAGGTGGTCTATTTTTCCGAGCCAACTGAAGTTCAACCAGCCGAGCTCGTTGATGAGCATCTGATACGGATTCTGGTCGAACAAGATTCAACATATCCTGTATTGCCACTCGCAAGCCACCAACATAGCGTGAAATTAATTGTTTCTTCGTCTCCCGTACCTCGACACGTGTTAAAAGTTGATGGAATTCGCTCGTATACTCATCGACTGATCGAGTCCCTTGTCTCAAGTTTTGAAGCTGTTGGTACACGAGACTATCATAATTAAACGGCAAGAACTCACGCTCTATGCGCTCACGAAATTTCATCCATGGAGGACATCGGTGCTTTTCCCTAACGATGCCGCAAGCTCGTAAGTTGCATCCACCACGCTGTTGCTCTACTCCGAAATCTGGTTGCAACGAGCCTGACATGCTGCTACTCCGGCACCTCCCTAAATGCGAGCACGGACTCAACGGCTGCCCACTAGTCCACGAACTCATCGCCTTGTACCCCGCCGTGAAACTCGGGGATATCAACCCATTCGACTCCCAACGTGACTCATCGCCCCCTTCTATCAGACGTCTGTCGTCACGTCGGCTTGCCACCTTCCAGCGACGTCATCGCGGTCCTCGAAAATCCCCCGTCGGTGAAGATGATCGCCATCCGCCTGCCGCTGGCCATCACGCCGTCCAAAGCCGTCGTCCTCGAAAATCCCGTCGCGACGCTGATGGTCATCATCCTCGTAGGGCATCACGTCTCGACGAAAAAATTCATCCCCCGCAAACCCTAGGTCATCTCGCCGTCCGCCATTTCTGTCGTGCCCACGGAAGAAATCGCCTCTGTCTCGTGTCGGATACCCCTCGGCGAACGGATTATCCACCGTGAGGGTTTCGTCGGAATAGTCATCATCGGGATGTAGCGCCCCGTTCGATTTATAGAATTTTTTCGGAATATTCTATTTGTCGAATATTATTTATGAGTTATATTGATTTTATTGGTCGCGATGTTGACCTAATTAAGCTGTACTCGATCGTTTTATTTAGAAACGTTCGTCGTTCAGTGATTTCTGTTTAATCGCGTAAACCGAATAAAATCCGTTTGAATAATGGTTTTTTTCGGATATATTAGCATTATAATTTATTTTAATTGCCAAAGTAAATAATTTCTTGATAATATATTTATTATTAGGTGTTAAATATATTAAATGTCGGTTTTGAAAATTTAAAAGTTTACGGGTCGTCATATTTTATTTCGAGTGTTATATTCGGATTTTATGAAATTGAGCCCGATAAACTGGTAGTCGAAACCGGCCGATTCGTAAACCTGTTTGTTTACGAAGTATTTGGGATTATTATTATTGGTATAATTGTTTATATATATGTGTTATTATTATTATTATTATTTTCTGAATGCTATAAATTATTAATTGTCATATGTGATTTATTTGTCAAATTGCTTAATTGTCTAAATATTAATTAATTGCCCATTTGTCTAAGTGTTGCTAATTAATTAAAGTGTGTATTTGTATTTTTACTAATATTATTATTATTTTAAAAAAATTATATTGTGTGTATTGTATTTATATATAATATTCGGTTTGTTTATTTGTGCGATTTAAATTATCGAGCCCGAGAAAACTGTATTATTGCTACGTAGTCGGGCCCGAGAGCCGATACGTTTTATTGAACCGAAACCGCGAGCCCGATGAATCGGCCCAGCCCCGAACCGTCAGCCCAATCAATCCGGCCCGCCCAATGTGTGTTAGTGGGTGTCTTGACCAACAAGACTTTTGCCCTAGTCTCACTCTTTTTTTTTTAACCTCGCGCAAACAGAATACAGAGATTCAGGCCGCAGCTTTCTTCTGTTCGTTCTCTGTTTCTCACGTCGAAGAGAAAATCGATCGCGCATCCTCCATCTATCGCAAATCTGAATTTGTTCCGTCACCATCATCAACCATCGCTCTCATCATCATCACCATAATCCTTCACCATCTCGCCATCATCCAATTCTCTGAAATTTTTCGTCGCCATCTTCTCCACGCGAGAGCAGACCTGCAAGACACTCCCTTCCGGCGAGTTCAGCGGCCAACCCCATCGCCGGCGTGAAGCACCAAGCTCCGGCGACCCTGCCTTCACGTTTTTCCGGCGAGTCTGAATCCACCGCGAGCAGCCCACGAGCTTCCGACGACGAGACTCCCTCTGCCGGTGATCCTTCCAACGTTGCAGCGACTCCACCGCCGCGACCAGCCGTTTTCCGGCGAACCAGCAAGCTGCGAGCATCTCAGCAGCGCCATCAACGCATCACAGCGCCTCGGTTTTTGTGAACTCAGGCCACCGTTCGGGCCGTCGATTCCTCGTTCCATTTTTGTTCGATGCCCGAGAACGGTACAAGGCTCGACCCGTCTCGTGTATATTGTGTTATTGATTGTTGATGGAGATCGTTGAATACCTGTGAATATGATTATGTGACCTTTGTGTTCATAAGGATTTATAAGTGTGTTTGAAATGGCTAAAGGAAATAATGTTGTATGTGTAAACGAACTCGTCGATTCGGTGAAATCGAACGAGACCTTGTCGAATCATGATAGAGTCTCTGTGGGTTGGAACTCGTATTGTTCTTAGTCTTATAGCGAAGACTTCGGACGGATTCGTCGTAAAACGAGTCGGTTATGAATTAATGAAATTGTCTAGTCGCTGTTTTGGTAGATAAATTATGATAAACTGTGTGATGCTGGTATTGCTGTGAAATTTTGTGTGATCGTTTACATGTTGTGTAAAAATTTCGAATTAAAATCTTGAGTATAGCTATTTTTAATAATTGTATGAAATTCTGAGCAGAATCTTGTTAAACGCATATTTAATTGAGTTGTACTCCAAAAATCATGAAATTTTATTATGTTGTCTTTCTGTATGTTTTATAGGTCGTGTAAAATGTTTGCTATATTTAAAAATTATTTGATGAATTCTGCAGATTCGTAATTTAATTTTCATAAATTGGTCTGTTGTGCTAAATTGCTGAAAAATTATAAATGGGATCATTTTGTGATTGTGTTTCAGCATATGAAAAGATGGGATTTATTTGGGTTTATTTTTGTTCAGCCTTATTGAAAATTTGAAATCAGCAGAAACTAGTTTTAATTTTTTAAAATTTGGATACTTGATGTTAATTGCTGAAAATTTTATATGTTGCTGTTCTAATGTTGTTACTGCTTGTGTAAAATTTTCATGGCTAAATTCATTCATTTGTTCTGGTTGCTGTAGTATGCCCGTTTTTACCAAAAACTTGCTCGAATTTTATAAAATAGCATGCTTTGAATTTGGGGCTGAGAATTTGTGGTTTTGCTTAACTCTGGGAGGAGTAATTTTGGATAAAATTTCAGAGCTTAAGTCGTAGGGTAGCCTGACCATCTATTTTTATGTGAATAATGGCTATTATTTTCAAAGTATGATTTTGAAATTTAAAATCGGTAATCGACTTGTTTTTCATTCTGTTGAGTTTTTGACTTGGTCAATTCTTAGATGGATTTATGTGAATTCCCACGTGTAATTGGTTGAGTCTAGAGGTCAAGTCTAAGTGTTCCAACGTCCACAGGACTTCACGAACAACTTAGTTGAATCAAGTTCGACTAAGTATGATTGTGATTTCTGTTTAAGTCAAAATAGATGTTGATTATGGCATCTAGACTTAATGTAGGTGTTTGACGAGCCGAGCTCGCAGCCTATTCGTGCTTCTGTGATTATCTCCTTTTCGCAACCAGGTGGGTTATTCAAAATTTCCTATGCCTTAAATTCTTTATAAAAGTTAAATGGTATGATCAATGTATGCATGTGAACCTGTAACCTTCGATGTGTGCGGTTTCGACCTTAGAACGGTTATCCCCGTCGTCGTGTGCGGTTTCGACCTTCGACGGTGCCTAATGATAGGCAGTCTCCCTAGCCTAATGATATGCAAGGCGGAGCTGTATGCCCTTCGGTATTTACTCCCATTGTTGTGTGCGGTTTCGACCTTCAATGGCTAATGGTAGATGTGCACATGACTAAAAGTTATGATTAGGAGATGTGATCTTTGAATGATTCGTGTTCATGCTGCGACCATGCTTATATGTCTTTAATATATTATTTATTACATAGCGTTGAGCACTACGGTTTCCAACTGTGCTCATCCCCACCTGAAATTCACGTTTCAGGTTAAGCAAGGCGGGCACGATGGCAGGATGGCGAGTGGATGGTCATATTTACATTATTTGCTTCCGCTTTATTTTGAATAAGTTAACCCGAATTGATGAACTTGAATTATGTTGGGTTATGAACATGTTATTTCATTTCAGACCATGTCGTTTGAATTACGCTGGATTTGAACTCATGTTTTTTGTTCGTATTATTGAACTATGTTGGGATATTCATGATGGATGTGTTATTTGGATATCATGTGAATTGTTGTGTTTAGGACAATGAAGTCCATGTGAAAAACCAGGTAATGAATTCCCGTGAGGTTTCAGATATGACTTGAAACAAGATAATGCCCTAATGTTATCGATTTCGAAAAATGAGTTTAAAAAATGTTAATGTGATTTTTGTATAAGCCGTGGATTATTTCTTAAATCAAAGTGGGTCGTTACAGGGTGGTGGTTGAGGAGACCGCCAGCGGGGCGCCCCGCCATAGCCTCGTCCCCCACGACCACCGCGATCCCCGCTGCGTGCGCCCCAGTCGGCCGCCACACGGTTCGTACGCACCTCGTCCATCAACGTCCGCATCGCATCTCATCTCGCAAGTCCTCGGTCCCCGTTGAGATATCCGTAACCCTCTCGTCCATTCCATGAAATCGTTCATCCATCTGTTGGAAAGGTTCATCGATGGCGTTATCGATTCCGTCATTTCTTTTCGGCGGCATCGTGGATCGTTACTGGTCTGCTGATACCAATTGATGTAGAGTGTGTATATGAAAGGGAAGAACAAGACAAACGTCGAACAAATTTTTATTTCAATTCATCAATAATCTACTCTCAACTGCGCAGACGAGAATACATAAGGGAAAAGGACAGTCCCATGCTCATCCATTACTTAAAATAAAATGCCTAATTAGTAACTAAAATCTAATAACCATAATAAGATGTCAAAATAAAAGACTACTAATAATGATAAAATAAATAACTAGACATAAAGACGATTGTATTTATTTAAAAATGCTATCGGGGTCTCGACTCCATCAGGTAGGTTTGATGTTAAAATTAAGGCCTAGCCATATTGTTTCTGAATGTGGTGGACTTTGATTTTTTTTTTCTTAATTTTTTTTTATCTATTCATTTATTTATTTTGGATAAAAAAGTGTGTAACTTACATTGGTTTTAGGGATTTGATCTAGAAGGAAAGTTGAGAGCATTTTGTGGCGAATGTCGATACGTCAGATTACTCTCGACGTTTGGTGGCGATGGTCTCCCAGCTTGTGGGTTTGGATTTGGTGATGTAGTTATTGTTGAAGTCAGTGCAATTCATTTGTATTTCTGTTATTTCACCTAATACTCTGTTTTTTCCTCAACTTACTCTTTTCTGCTATAACCATCTGTTATATATATATATATACTATATATACACACACACACAATTAATTCATTGACTTTCTCATCTTCTATGGATTATAAAGCTGCTAAAAGAGAACAGACTTTTGCTGGAATTAAGCCCTCGAGTAAGGAACTGTTAGGAATTTAACACAACCGAGCCATCTCATCCATGACGTGGACAAATGACATTTACAGCTGCACATATGGACAAATCCCTTGAAACCCTAGGCTAGGAGCTGTGAGCAAAATGTGTAGTCAGCCGTTCAATATATATAGCTGTCTTTGGTGTAATCATATCGATAAGAAAGTATACACAGTGAGCAGAAGAAAAGAAAACAATGAAAATTTTTTCCATATTCATGATCCATCAGTTATTGTCATTTATGATGATTTGTTTTCATCCCATGTTTGGAATGCTTTTAGTTTTCTTTTATGGTATCAGAGCTTAGGCTCTGATCCATACCTCTTCCTTTTTTTATTTTTGGATCTCGAGGTATCTTCTTTCTATGGCAGCTCCTGCACCTCAGCAGGGACCAGATCCCATCATTCAACTTCAAAATCAGCTCATATCAACCAAACTTAATGACAGCATCTTCTTGGTCTGGGAACAACAAATCTTAACCACCATTAGAGGTTATGATCTTCTTGGATTTCTGACTGGTGAAACCCCTACACCTGATAAACTAGCTCAAGATCCAACCAATGGAGAGCTCACAGTCAACAAAGCTTATCTAAGCTGGATGAGACAAGACCAACTCATAGCCTCATGGCTGCTGTCTTCTCTCACAGAAAACATCCTCATAACTATGGTTGGTCTAAACACTTCAAAGGAAATATGGGAGTGCTTGAAAAAGAGCTTTGCCAGTCACAGTCTTGCTAGAAAAATGCAGCTTAAGCTTGAGTTGCAAACCCTAAAAAAGGGCAACATGAAGGTGAGGGAGTACTTTAGCAAGCTCAAAGGGATCTGTGATCTTTTAGCAGCAGCAGACCATAGGGTTGAAGAAAATGACTAGATCTTGCACCTCTTATCTGGACTTGGACAAGAATACAACCCAATTGTTGTCAATCTCACCTCCAGACTGAAAAATGCTCAATGATAGAAGCCTATTCAGTGTTGCTGACCTTTGAAAGTAGAATGGAGAGCTTAGAAACAACTCATGAAGGTGAAGCTCCTTACTTGGTAGCTAACTTGGCCTTTCACACAACTCAAAGAAGAGGAAGAGGTTATGGATCCAACAGAGGATGGTCTGGCAATCAAAACACAGCCACCAGAGGAAGAAATGCAGGCAGAGTGGGGTCTTACAGAGGAAGAGGAGGTAGAGGTGCTTATCAAGGGACAAACCGAGCTAGATGTCAGATTTGCAATTACAACAACCATATTGCCAAGGATTGTTACTTCAGATTTGATGCTAACTTCATTTCTAGAAATAAGAAGCAATCAGGAAGAGCAAATAACAATGGCAACAACCATCTTGCAGCTAATGTAGCTAGCCTTGTGTCACAAGACAATGATTCTGATCAAGATTTCTATTGGTTTCCAGACTCTGGGTCCACTCACCACCTCTCAAATGATCTTGGCAACCTAAACTTGGAAACTGAATATAATGGAAGTGAAAGAGTGCACACAGCAAGTGGAGCAGGTATGGATATTGCTCATATTGGTCATGCTATGATAAATTGCCCTGATTCTCATTTACCTCAAAATTTTGTCCTAAACAATCTTATGCATGTCCCTCATATCACTAAGAATCTTCTGAGTGTGTCTCAGTTTGCAAAAGACAATAATGTCTTTTTTGAATTTCATCCTACCCTATGCTTTGTGAAGGATCTCAAGACCAGTGTTCCACTTCTTCAAGGCAATCTTAAAGATGGACTATATTGCTTCAAGCTAATCAAAGATTCAGTTTCTCAGCCTTGTTCTAATCTGTCATCATCTCATTTCCCTTCTATTTGCAGTTTGGGCAATTCTAACAATGTTGATACTCTTGATGTATGGCACAAAAGATTTGGACATGCCTCTTATGATGTTGTTAAGGCTGCTTTAAAACATTGTCAGATTTTTTTTCTTGCCAAAGAAGATGTTAATTCCCTTTGTGATGTGTGTTTGCAATCTAAATCTCATAAATTACCATTTCATGCATCTGATGAAAAGCATTACGCTCCTTTTGACCTTATCCACATAGACTTGTGGGGACCAGCACCTGTGGTTTCACATCAAGGCTTTAGATACTATGTGAGTTTCATTGATCACAAGACAAGATTTGTCTGGTTTTATCTCTTAAAGAACCAATCCCATACCAAAAAGGCTTTCCTTCATTTTGCAGCTATAGTTAAAAATCAGTTTAACACCACAATCAAAGCTTTCCAGTGTGATGGTGGTGGAGAATTTCAAACTCTTAAACCCATCTTCTCTGAAATGGGCATTGTTTCTAGGGTTTCTTGCCCATACACCCCTGAACAAAATGGACTTTCAGAAAAGAAACACAGGCATATAGTCCAAGTTGGCCTTTCCCTTCTCTCACAATCTACTCTTCCTTACTCTTATTGGAATGAGGCCTTTTCAACATCTGTATACCTCATCAATAAAACCCCAAACAAAATTCTGAATTTTCTATCTCCTTTCCAAGCCTTATATCAGTCTTCACCAGATTACAACTTTCTCAAATGCTTTGGTTGCTTGTGTTACCCCTTTATGAAGCCATACAATGACCGCAAGCTTCAACCAAAAAGCCTACCTTCTGTTTTTATTGGATATAGTCCCTCTCACAAGGCTATAAGATTCTATTGCCTAGCCAGAAAATCATCATCACTAGACACATCATTTTTAATGAACAAATTTTCCCTTTACACTCTCCACCTCAACCACATTTTGATTCTGTACCTCAAAACAATGTTCTTTTACTATCTACAGTCCCACCTCATTTATTTTCACCCACTCCAAACCTCATTCATCATTCACCACCTCCTTCTCCTCATGCAACACCCAACCCCAGTTCCAATAGCACTCCTTCAACCCCACATTCCAATCATTTTCCAACAGCATAGCTAACTCTCCCTCACACTCTCCAATCCATTCACAGTCCCATCATCATAGCTCATCACCATCCACTATTCCTATTGGGCAAATTGTCATAGACTTACCTATTGAGCAACATCCTGTTACTAATCCTTCTGCTGCAGGTGATCATCCAATGATTACTAGATCAAAGTCAGGTATAAGAAAACCAAGGATCTTATCCACTGAAGTCATCTCTCACAAAGAGCCATCTTCAGCTATTGAAGCTTTATATCATCCTGCTTGGCATCTTGCCATGAAAGAGGAGTATCAAACACTCATGAAGAATGGTACTTGGGATTTAGTACCACCACCTCCTCATCAAAACATCATAGGATGTAAATGGGTCTTCAAACTGAAGACAAACCCAGTTTGCACTGTCTCAAGGCACAAAGCCAGGCTTGTAGCCAAAGGCTTCACTCAAGATGCTGGCATTGACTACTTAGAGACCTTTAGTTCAGCGGTTAAACCCACCACTATTAGAATAATTCTTCCTCTGGCAGTCTCTTTGAACTGGCACATCTACCAAATAGATGTGGACAATGCTTTCTTAAATGGCGAATTGGACAGGGAAATTTATATGGTTCAACCTCAGGGGTTTGAACTTCATTCTGACAAGAATTATGTTTGCAAACTCAAAAAATCCCTTTATGGCCTCAAACAAGCATCTAGATCATGGTCATCTAAACTAAGCTTCATCCTTCTTTCTCTTGTTTTTCCATTTCAAAGGCAGATACATCTCTCTACTACAAGCATGAAGCTGGTTCATCCATTTTCATATTGGCCTATGTTGATGATATTCTTATTACTGCCAGTCACCAACAATTGATCCAATCCACCATTCAGAAACTTTCAACTTTCTTTTCTCTCAAGGATCTTGGTCAACTTCATTTTTTCTTAGGAGTTCAAGTCTCCTACAATTCTGAAGGTCTCACCTTATCTCAAATAGCCTACATTGATGGCCTCTTAGACAGGGATGGAATGAAGGGGGCCAAAGGACTTAGTACACCAATGGTGAGCCATTCGCCCCTATCAAAGAATGATGGTCAACCAATGCATAATGGTCATGTTTATAGGCAGATAGTAGGTGCTCTTCATTACCTTACCCTCACAAGGCCAGACATAACCTTTAGTGTGAATAAAGTGTGTCAATTCATGCACACTCCTCTTGATAAACATTTGAAAGCTGTTAAAAGGATATTGAGGTATCTTGCAGCTACAAGAGAATATGGACTCAAGATAAACAGGTGCTCCAATTTCAACATAAAAGCCTTTTCAGATGCAGACTGGGGTTCAGATGTTGATGACAGGAGGTGTACAAGTGGATTGTATGTCAATATAGGATTTAACCTCATATTCTGGAGTGCAAAGAAACAAGCAGTTGTTTCTAGCTCTTCAACCGAAGTAGAGTACAGGAGTGTTGCTCAAGCTGCTTGTGAAATATTATGGATGCACTCTCTATTTGATGAGATGGGAATCACCTCCAAGAGACAAAGTGTGATATGGGTTGACAACAGGGGTGCTGTGTGTTTGGCTAGAAATCCAGTTAATCACTCAAGAACTAAGTGGATAATTTCAGTCCAACACCTACCTACCAGTGAACAAGTGGCATACATTTTCACAAAGGCTCTCTCAGGGCAATTCTTTGCATGGTTAAGGAATAAGTTGATGTTAGCTCCGAGGTCATGCATAGAATTGAAGAAGGGTTTAGGAATATAACACAACCGAGCCATCTCATCCATGACGTGGACAAAAGCCATGCATGAAGACAAAAGAAATTTACAGCTGCACATATTGACAAATCCCTTGAAACCCTAGGCTATGAGCTGTGAGCAAAATTTGTAGTCAGCCGTCCAATATATATAGTTGTCTTTGGTGTA